ACGTGTGGGAAGCACATGTATCCAATAATTATCTTCTTGAAGTCGAGACAGATTAGTGTTCCAAAAGCATAAATACGTGCTAATAACTTTTAACTTCTACATAATCTAATCCCTTATCTATTTACTTTGTTTTGTAAATATGAAATTAAAATTTTGAAATTGGAACTAAAAGATAAATAAAAGGCGAATGAAGATGCAGCAAGCTAGTTTGGGTATGATTATAAAGACTAAAAAACCAAAACAGTAATTAGGAATTAATTTTAAGCCAGTGACAGAGAGCAGGTGGCGGATAAATGGTAGGAAAATATTAGTTGCATTACTAACCACCAAAATAAGTAAAATCCGAGAGGGGAAACACTCACTTCAAGATTATCAACATATCTAATTCATCAAAATCAAACCCATTCACATTTCAAAGGTACATTATGTTCACGACTACCCCTAGATATCAGATACCCAAGTGTTGCAATTGATCCGTTTTATTTCAGAAAACACAGAATTAATAACAATTTTCCAGAAAAAATACTCCGTGTTTATGCATTCTTGAGCAGGGATGATTATATACATAAGATACATAAGCTTAGATTTCCTTTTGTACTTTTGCATGGTCTGTTATTTAGTGTGAGCCAATCCAAGATCATTATTGAATGCTTCAATGTTTAATTGATTGTATTTGAATTTGACACACTAACAAGAGGTTATGCATTGTTTTGCCTAATTTGGATTCATCCACCGTGAAATTTAGTTTCTTAGAATGGGATGAAGTTGGGATCTAGGAAAACATTGGTATGGGGAAGAATTCGCAGAAACAGATTGGGTTGACTCTAAATAATCATCAACCAAAATGAAATGGGGCATATTTCACCACCTTCAATACAATAGATGGAACACTGTCAAGAAAAGGCTATCATACAAAAGTCGTGCAGGTACAAAACATGAGCCCGACAAGGAATTCAAAGAAACTTATTGTCTCTCTTTATTAAGCATTTTCTATTTCATCTTCTAATTGAAAACAAAAGATACAAACTTATATATAATGACTTAGCTAGGCTTCTCCTCTTGATTGATATTTTGGATGTAATGAAGTCGATCTTTTCCTACTTTCCTAGACTTATAATAAATTGCTATTCATCTCACTGAACTTAAGATCACATTTTTATTACCTGCTTAAAAGACGGAAGACTTCTCTGCCCTCTATAGGCAGCCTTGATCTGAAGGTAGTATACCATGTCTAATTGAATAAACATGGGACCTAACAATTGCATCTACTTACATCACACGTAGGTTTATTTTAACTTACTCACATCCCATAATGCCGAACATGTTGTTTTCTCTATGTTAACTTTAAATCAAAGCGGGTTAGGACTCAGGGCTTAAGCAGGTTACGTTTCTATTTTTGTATGGAGTTCTGGATTTGACTTTGACTCAAACACACACTATTAGAATTGATTTATGATACGTAGTATTTTCTTCTACAATTGATATCCAGTGCTTAATTCATTTTCTGGATGTGATGAATGATAAGGCATTCAATAGCATAGCTGAGCAAAAATCGGAGAAACGGAATGGAAACTAACCTGAACATTTTGCGCTTGAAGAGGGAAACGATGGGAGGTAGACCGGTGTGGTAAGGGCGCAGATGAGAGCAGCCTTGCGAGAAACCAGAGTTAGGAGCGCTGATTCTAAACAACCGGAAGTTGTAGTGCTGCTCTCCAAGTTCCGCTGGGTGTTTAGTTGCAATAGACGGAGCTATTAACGGAATTTAAACGAGAAGTTAGTTCCTTTAAAAGAGTACATAGGTCAAAACACAGTGTACAACCTAATAAAGCAAGTGATTACACCAACATTATTTTCAACCCTAAAATGCCCTAACCCTCATTGAGTATTATAAGATTTTAAGATTAAGATTAAGAAATGAGCAAATGGTTGTGATTGGGCTTGGACTTGTCGGGACTAGAACTGGCCTCTTCCCAGGACCGGGCTGGACCGGCTATTTCCTGTTCGAGGTCAATGACCGTGCTGAGCCCACTTCCTCCCTGCTCGGTCTTTTTTTCATTCAAATTCAAAGGCTTATAAGAATTTTAAAGGAGGTATAAATAAATCCACTTAAAAGCTATAAAAGGTGGAGACTGGAGAGGGGGGTGGGAGGGTTTAAAATATAAAAAGAAATTGAATAATAAAAACTTGGGATTGCCCGGGGGATCGGAACCGGCCCGGAATTGCTATACTCGGCACCGGTGTCTGTTCCAGGGTAGCCAACCCCTCCAAACTGCTATACTCAGTGCCGGTCTCACCCAAAATGCAATAAAACTCAACTAGAATGAATAAATTAGAATGGAATGACTTAGTGAGTACTGAGTAGATACTAAAAAGTTTTTGTCCATAGACATTTATTTATAACGGATTTGCATGGTCATGATCTCTCTATGATTCTTTTCTAACTTTAGCTATACAAAAGAGAATGTTTTCAAGTGATAACTATTTGCACGATTACTTTTAATTCTCACAATTAACCGTTCAGTCCATCTAAAAATTTTGAATGAGGGTCAGAGGGTGTACATATAGTGCATTGTAAAAAAATGTCATCTAAAGTGTTGGTGGGTTTTTTGTGTTATGAGATATCTAGTCTTAGTAACGAATTAATGGTTCTAAAACATTTTCAATATACTAATTCAACCCACCTAATAGAAACATATTGTCTCGAAATGGAACAATTTACTATATTCATTCCCCACTAATCGAATTTGTCAAAAACTTCACAAACATAAGCTCTAACTTTCATATATTAAGACTCCATACCTTCATTTTAATTCGATTTTAGAGTTCCATTTTGATTGGAAATTTGGAATGTTATAATAAATTTATTCATTTTTCATTTATTTAGTTCTCAATGGGAATTCCAAGAGACACTCAGTGAAAGTGTTTTTTTGCTATACTTTTTCTCATATAGAGTATCTATTCTATTAAATGTTAACATCCTTAATTGAAATGAGTTTGAAATATGTAATCTCCTCCTTGAAAGGGTTATAGTGATGCAATTTTGCGTTTTATTTTCATATATAGTCTTCTTGTTAGATTATACTACTATATTACAAAAAACACAAAAAAAAAACAAAAAACAAAAAAAAAAAAGATTATGTTATACATATATCTTCATATAAAAAATGCTCTTCGGTAACATTGTGTTTCGGCATATATTCTACTCTGTATTAAAAATAGGGAGACTTATTTGAGTCTCCGTATTTGAGTCTCTTAGACTAATGGTAATTATTAACTATCATTAGTACTACAATTATTCTTAAGGGAATTCTTAAGGGAATTTTACACCTCATTTTCAAAATCATTAATGTGAGCACCTTATAACCCAAATGTTGTGAACATATGAAGTGCAAAATCAAATGATTTTATAGTGAAATAGAGTGCACATATTAATGATTTTGAAAATAGAGTGCAAAGTCAAATATCTTCCAAAAATGGGGTGAAAAATCAAATTTCCCCTTATAGATATAAGAAATAATGTTTCCTGACTTTGCACTGTTATTTAATACTCAGGTACTATTATTCTTTAATTTACTACTACATCTCCCATTGACATGGGGCATGGAAAAGTGGTGCGATTATTAAGAAAAATGAACTTATGTGATTGATATAAATTTATACTCCCTCCGTTCCAATAAATTCTTTCAACTTTGACTTGGCACGCTTATTAAGAAAGTGAAATAAAGTGAAAAATTGTGATTGTAGTTGTGTAAGAAAAAAATAAAATGAATGTGAGGCACGCAAATTGTCCAAAAATGGCAAGTTGGAAGATTTTTTTGAGACGCCCAAAAAGAAAAGTTGGAAAAATTTTATGGTACGGAGGGAGTATAAAGAAAGAATAAAGTAAATTGACTTAAAACTACATAAACTTTACCAAATTTAATACGGAGTATGAGACAATCTTAGCGGAACGAATCGAAAAAAGAAAAATGAGACAATGTTAACTGAAGCAAACGGATGAAGCACTAATTTTTTATTAAATGGGGCAAATGCTCAATCATTTTAGATATTCCTTTCTTAATTTCACCAAATTCAAATTTTATTAAAATTTTACAGAAATCTAGTGATAAAAGTATATTGCATTTGTAGGTCGAGGAATGGACACCACATGTAAGGGTGGGAATTGATCAAGCGGCCTGTTAGGGGCCTGCAGTCTGGCCTGGACGGTTTAATAAACAAACAAGGCTTGGGCTTTTTAAAAAGTCCGTTTGTGTAAACAGACCAAACTTAGGTCAACTCTAAATCCTTTTCAACTTATCGACATATTTATATGTTTATATATATATATATATATATATATATATATATATATATATATATATATATATATATATATATATATATATATATATATGTTTGTACATATATTTACTTGTATTTATTTTGTATTATTTATATTAATATTTAAATTAGTATACTTAACTATAACAAATTGGGCATAAATTTTTTTTATGGAGCATGTATTATAATATTATAAATTGGAACACTATTTTTGTTAAATATATAAAATGTGTTAATAGGTTGTTAGGACAATTGAAATTTAAATTTTTTTAAGATTTCAAATACATAATACATAAAAAATTATAAGTTACATATATAGCTAACGTCTTATGAGTCATTCAAAGTGTTAGACTTTCTAGTAAATATTTGAGAAGATAAACTTTATACCGATTGATCCAAGAGGTGGAATCTCTCACCCCAAGAACCCCCACACCCCCAAGCCAACATGATGGTGAAGGGGTAAGTTGCGGTGACTCAGTCAGCAAAGTGACGGTAGGCCTAGTAGTCCAGAGGTCCAACCTTATTCCAGGTTATAAACTTTATACCGAGCTAATAGTATTTGTCACTTTTTATTCTGAAATTTTATGAATTTGTTATTTTTTCTATACAGGCCTAGTGAACAGGCCTCAAGTCAGGCTAGGCTTTTAAATAGGCCAAACTCAAACCGAAAAAACAGGCTTTTAACACATAATATACCTGGTTCAGGCCTATATATTTTAAAACAAGTCCGGCCTGGTTAAGCAAAAGCATGGCGTGACCTATTTACGCCCCTAGCCACGGGTAAGTAAATCTCTAGTTTTAGGGTTTGTTTATTTACATGAAGACATTAATTAATTAATTAATTAACACGAATAGATCGTCATTGCCTGCCAAGCTAAAGGCGATTCAGAGTGAATCGATCATTTTGGCCGACCCGTTCCACCCCCAGCGCTCTTATACAGGCAATGGCGGGAGCAAAAGAAGATCATAGACGCCGCAGATATAGAACCGTGTATTCATCTGATGAGGAACTGGAGGAGATTAGGCAGATGCTTTCTGAGGATTTGAATGATGAGAGATTAAACCCTGGGCCTGGGTGGCGTGAGCGGCGTCCCAGAACACCTGAGGGTCCAGAAATTCTCAGAGCTCGTGCTTCGGAGCGGAAGATTGAACTCACTGAACTGTCATTGAAATTCTACAATCGATTTAACAACACCTCGTATGAGCTGGTTGAGGACGAGCATTACCATATGAACTTCTGCTAAGCTTCCACAAGGGCCGGACTCCTCTCCCAAGCTCATCTTCGCTGAACTGGAAGAGGATGAAGAGTTCTACAGCTTTGAAGATGAAGCAAATAGACTCACTGCGTGCGTCATCCTGGAAGAAGGCGAAGGAACAATGTGCTGTATTAGCTGTTCAGAAGCTGAAGGAATCCGTCACCCTCTAGATGGTTTCGATTATGGCAACCCGCAACCCCAATAGGAGTCCGTAGTAGTTGGATGTTTTTCATTGGATTTTAATTTTGAATAATGCTTGTACACATTTTGGCATACACCTTTTGTACGCCACAGGACTATCTGTCTACAAACAACTCTACAGAATTGTGGACAGACAATTCCGTGTGCGTGAGACAGATGAGTGTACGAAAGGTGCGTGAGACAGATGAGTGTACGAAAGGTGTAAACCAAAATGTGTATATCAAGCACAGTTCTTTAATTTTTTATGATTTGTTTATTTGATTCTGATCTAATCCAGAATTGAAAGAAGTCTAAATAAAAACATTCTCGATTTTTGCCTAGTGACTAGCTAATACACTCTGCATCTTAGTTGTAAATAGAGAGTAGAGTACTCCCTCCATCTCTTAAAACTTGGTCAAATGTGTTTGGCACCAATATTAATAAAATAAAATCTGTGTAGTTGAGATTTGTACATATGAGTGAGAAATAACATGAACCACAATCTCGTTACTAAAAATGGAATGTGACAAAGAGATAGAGTTAGTGAAACAGCCAAAAATGAAGTCGTCAAAGTTTTAAAGGACGGAACAAATATTATTTATAACTTCATCTCCATATTTAAATTTAAATATACCGTGGCATTTAAAATAATTTGTATGTATTATGATTTCGAGGTTATATTTTAATTTACAAGGCTAATAGCCTAATAGAGAAAAAGAGTAACAGTGTAGTTTCTCATAAATTTTTTGTCAGAACTATTAACATAATCACATAAACATATTATAATAACAATACTCCCTCCGTCCCTCAATTAAGCTCCCACTTTCCTTTTTGGACAATCCCTAAACTAAGTTCACGCTTTAATATTTTCCTCATTTGGCAAATTATCTACATCAAAACAGTGCAAAACAATGCACTCCACATTAAAGTCAAATTTATTTTCTTAATATGTGTGAAGTCAAACCAGGAACTTAATTGGAGGACAGAGGGAGTACAGTATAACGTGACAGTATGACACCAAAGATGACATCGGAAATGCGATTCTTGAAATGTTCAAGACAATAATAATAAGTTAATAACAACTGATTGATTTGATTTTGGTCTTCCCAACAGAAGATGAACCACTTTCTCTATTATAATTTCAATGCAGATTAAAAGAATATAGATGTGAGCTACAAATGGAAGTTGATGCCCTATGAGAGCAAGCTGCTATATACATTTAATAAGAAAAACACACAATTTATACATGAAGAAAAAGCTCCCTCTTCTGACCTAGCCAGCTTGCAGGACGTGCATGGCCACTTCAGATTATTAGTCGTCTCACCTTCAGAGTAATGGCCCCTTTAAATTATTAGTCATCTCGCCTTCAAAGTAATGGCCACTTTAGATTATTAGTCATCTCGCCTTCAAAGTGACGACGAACATCCTCTATATCGTTCATCCTCTATATCACTTACATGTATATATGTCGTCGCAATGTAGCATTCATGAAATGTATCAATGGCATTACCATGTGAAGAGCGCTGCCCTCCTATTGCATGGGCCTCTTTCTAACAAATTGATTGCCCCCCACACAGCTCCAGCCACGCTCGTTCTTACCAATGGATCAGAATTGGAGAATGCAAACATTCCACATTAACCTTAGTTGAAAAAATAAGGAGAATCCAGAACTTCTCTCAGGTCAAAATCGCCTCGCTCAGGCAAAGGCGGAAATTGTAATTTAGGGAATGACTGTTGAAAACTTTCCAATAGCTGTTCAATAAACGAAAAATGTCAAACAAGTCAGGAAGTGAATATAGAGAGTACTAGAAAGAAGAGCTTCATCTGATAAAATTAACCAAAATAACTTTAGACAATTAACTTAAAGTGCTGACGTTATGACAGTGACGATCAGCAAATTCATGCATGAATATACTCAAACTTGCACACAAACTAGTGGTGTTTGTCGGTTTAATTCTGCCATTCTTCGGTTTAGTTGGTTCAGATTTGAGAAATGCCAAACCAAAAACAGAACCAAGTTACTCAAGTCAGTTTTGATACGGTTATTATTGGTCAACTTTTGCATATTTCAGTCCGTTTTTGTCTGTTCGGTCGATTTTAAAATAAAAAACCTTACACTGAACTGTCTGTGTTCTTGGCTGTTTTTGTAGGTTCAGTTTCAGTCAGTTTGTCACCTTATCCGTTTTTTGTGCACCCATTACAAACTAGGGGCCTGCCTATTCAAGTATAGGAGAAGAAATCCATGCCCCTAGCCCGTAAACTCTGCTAGTGAACTTACATTTTCCAATATTGGTTTTTCATAAAGCTCCACAAACTTCTCTCTTAGTATTTTATTCATTTGATCAACATCACGTGCATGAGTCCAGTATGAATCATGCACACCTGCAACCAAAATAGACCACATCTTGAATCTTAAAATAACACATAAAAAGGACTTGCGGGCTTTTAAAAAAAATAATGTGATCAGTCAATAAAAAGAAGAAGAAGAAGAAGACCTGCAAAATTTAAGCCTGCGTCTTTGCAAGCAATGGCAGTCATCATCATATGGGAACCATCAAGTGAGTGTACAAAATTTGGAGGGAAGGCTGTCTTCTGCCTCTGGACCATGACCTGTAATGATAAGACGATAGTGAGCCTGGATCAATTAACATATAAAATAGAATTAAAATTGCAACAATGGGCCAATACTTGTGATGGGCCTAAACGTCCTTTTGGAACACAGGAAATGTCTGAGAATGAAAATAACACGTACTACGTACTACTTTCGTTCATAAATACATGCAACATGTTGAATTTAACAGTCACATTATGTAGTTTGACTATATTTTATTTATTAATGTATTAGAAAATTATTATTTTTTTAAATGTTAAATTCCTTTCATTTTATATTTTCAATGTCTGATTTTTTATTTTTTTTACTAATAAGGAATTAAATACATCAATAGTCAAATACGTGTGTTGGCAAAGGTGAAAATGGTACGTTGCAACTTGCAACTAAAAAAGGAATGGATGAAGTACATAATAGAGGGGAAATATGAGAGGTGGAAAATGGGGGAAAGGAACTAACTCAAATCAATTTTGGGTATTTTTTCATACTCTATTTATATATTTCTGTTATGCAAAGACCAAGAAATCTAAATAAATGCAAACAATAAAAAGTATGAACTACCTTGTCTGTTTCCCGTTTTAAAGTCAATATCTGAAGAGATGTCCTAATCTGCATTCATTTAGGAAATCCATTAAGATGTTTCTTCCATAAAATAGAAAGAGATGGTTTAAAAAAGGGCAGCCCGAAAAAGGGCAGCCCGGTGCACGAAGGTATCCTCGCAAGGCGAGGGTCTAGGGAAGCCTTCCCTGTCAAATTTGACAAGCAGGCACTCTCAAGACTTGAACTTGTGACCTCTCAGTCACACAGCAACACCTTAACCAGTTGCGCAGAAAGAGATTGTTTAAGATGTAATTAGATCAGTTGAAATTGTATATTACAAGATGCCTTCCAACTTTTCGGTATGGTTGCACAACAGGTAGTCCAAGTGGAGTTGTCCACTGTACAGGGTGATTCTCCCGAGCAATGATCTGTACACCCATAAGTTAAAAGACATTAGTCTAACATATCCAAATAAATATCTAGATGTCAATGCCTTTAAGAGAAACACATATTACATTGTTAGAGAATATGTAGACCAAATACTGTTGTAGATCAAATGCCAATGCAACTTGTAGACAAAATTTCAATCACTAGAAACTAGAACTCTTCAAACTCAACAGATTTGTTTTATGCATCTGTTTAAACTCATTTTATTTAGACTATATAAAGGAAATCTAGATACTCATTTGCCTTGGTAAAGAAAAACAAAATCTAGATACTCGTTTCCTTTGCATTGTTTGAGATCACACAATACACTAAAACAAGTGTGATTCATGTGTTAAAACGAATTATACAAATAACATAGTAGCAAAAAATTCCCAAGCTCCTGATGAAATTTACATTTAACATGATGGAGCCACGCAATCATGTACTTTCCAAAACAGAAATAAAAAACTAGAAAGAACAAACCTTGGCACAGTCTCCAAGCCAGCTCATGATGCCTCGTGCAGCTTCAAACATTTCTCCCAAGGCAGTCAATGTAGTCTGAAAGTTTGACCAATGGTTTTAGCCTTTAGGCTGTAGTTGAAATACTATGGCTGAAAGTAAACTACAGATAAGAGCTCTGAATCATGTAAAGCTTTGCTGAAAATCTAGAATGATAATTTTCCATTTATCAATCAGAAACTTCTAAATTAATAATCATTTGTTTGTGCACTTCGTTTTCATAGTATATGTGAGCTATGATCGTTTATATCACTTCTTGAGGATGAGGATACTTTCATATTACCTGCTCTTCCAAAGTTCCCAGGTGAAATTCTATTCAAATAAGTAGTATAAAAATTAAATTGAAAATCAAATGCCTTACTATTGCCACATAGCAAGAAGCTGAAAACAACTCATTGTTATCTTCGATCACACCACGCTCCTTTAACCTTCTTTTGATTTGTTCACGGGCCCCAACGTAGGTGACTCCATACACTGAAGTCATCACCGTTTGTTTGACTAATTTCCGGTCTACCTGAGATATATAACAGATGACAAGAAATAATGTCGATGAATGAGTGGATATACATAAGAACATCTGCTCAACATAAAACGTTAATGGAAAGAAACTTTAAAAAGGAGTACATGCTATAAGCATGAGTAATATGATAGTGATGACGATTATAATAATTATAACAACCTGGTCTATTAAACGTCTTGCGAGCATCACATTCTGATCAGATGCAGGATCTTTAGCGGCATCACTCTTCATAATATCAAGAACTCTGATTTTAAACGGAAAGACATCATTATAATGGAAGCGCACCACTATACCCCAAAAACATTGTTAGAAGCAGTTTTGTTATGAAAAAAAATGTCGGCAAAAGTTCAAGTGATTATTGTATTTATTGAGCTGGATGCTTCCTATATTTATTCAACTCAGTTTTATACCTTACTCTCTGGGGAAGAAGCCATGGTTGACCAATAAGCACATTGAAAAAACAGACTTATGTGGAGACACTAACATGATGAAAGGGCACAAAGAAGGGGAAGTTGTAGGAAAATTGCATTTGTACACTAAATTAGTACACAAATTGTACACATTCCTCCTAATTGTCTGTTTACACAGGCAATTCGTTTGAAAATGTGCAGAATTTTATGTAAAATGTCTGTGTACATAGCCAGTGTACAATTTGTGTACAACAGGAATTACTTATATCGCTTTATCCATGGAGATATAACTTACCGAGCAGCAATTCCGGAGTAAACATCAGCTGGCTTGTCTCCACCAACAAGATTGACAGCTGCTGCTCCTAACTGCGGA